CCATTTCTTCTAAGTTGTCCAATTTGTTGGCATATAATTTTTCATAGTATTCCCTGATAATTGCCTGTATTTCTGAGGGGTTGGTTATAATAATTCCATTTTCATTCATGATTTTGTCTATTTGGGTGCTCTCTCTTTTCTTTTTGAGAAGCCTGGCTAGAGGTTTGTCAATTTTGTTTATTTTTTCAAAAAACCAACTCTTGGCTTCATTGATCTGTTCAATTATTTCTTTGGTCTCTATGTTGTTTATTTCTGCCCTGATTTTTACTATTTCTCTTCTTCTACTGGATTTGGGGCGTTCTTGTTGCTCTGCCTCTAGTTCCTTTAGGTGAGCTGTTAGGTTTTGGACTTGTGCTTTTTCTAGTTTCTTGAAATAGGCCTGGAGTGCCGTGTACTTTCCTCTTAGGACTGCCTTTGCTGCATCTCATAGATTTTGGATTGTTGTGTTTTCATTTTCGTTTGTTTCCATATGTTTTTTAATTTCATCCCTAATTGCCTGATTGGCCCATTCATTCTTTAGTCAGGTGGTCTTTAACCTCCATGTTTTTGGGGGTTTTCCAGGCTTCTTCCTGTGATTGATTTCAAGTTTCAAAGCATTATGATCTGAGAGTGTGCATGGTATGATCTCGATTCTTTTATATTTATTGAGGGCTGCTTTATGTCCCAGTATGTGATCTATCTTGGAGTATGTGCCATGTGCACTTGAGAAGAAAGTAAATTCCTTGGCCTCAGGATGTAGTTCTAAATATATCTGTCAGATCCATCTGGTCCAAAGTTTCTTTCAAGTCCATTATTTCTTTAGTGATTTTCTGTCTGGTTGACCTATCCATGAGCAAAAGATACTTTGGAGGTGCGCCTGGGTGCCTCAGTCGGTTGAGTATCCGACTTTGGCTCAGGTCGTGATCCCACTGTTTGTGGGTTCAAGCCCCGCGTCTGGCTCTGTGCTGACAGCACGGAGCCCAGAGCCTGCTTCAGATTCTGTGTCTCCCTCTCTCTCTCTTTCTTCACTCATGCTGTCTTTCAAAAATAAACCAATGTTAAAAAAATTTTTTAAAAAAAGATACTTTGGAGAAGATACCAAAATGCCCCCAAAACATGTAAAGAGCCTAGTAGAATGGCCAAAATTTAAAACCCCAACAATACTAAGCTAGTATTGACAAAGACTGTAGAACAGCTAGAACTCTCTCATTTACTTGCTTATCAGAGCATCCTTTGGAAAGATGTTAGTTTCCATTAAAGATGGAGCCATATATCTTTTTAATACAGGTCTTCCTGGACTGATGATGATGTTCTGTCCCCATAAGCCCATTGTAAATTGAAGATACCATAAGTCTAAAATGCGTTTATTTAGTACACTGGATTTACTGAATATCATAGCTTGCCCTAGCCTACCTTAAATGTGCCGAGAACAATAGCCTGCAAATGGGCAAAATCATCCAACAGCCTATTTTATACTAAAGTGTTGGATATCTCATGCAATTTGTTGAATACCATTCTAAAAGTGAAGAACAGAATGGTTGTATGGTTTCAGAAAGGCCAGAAGTCTATTCTGATCCCCCTTGGGATCCCGTGGCTGCCTGGGAGCTGTAGCACTGCCACCCAGCGTCACGTGGGACTGTCTACCGTGTGTTGAAAGCCCAGGAAAAGATAAAAATGCAACATCTGAAGTATGGTTTCTACTGAATGTGTATTTGCTTTCACACCATTGTAAAGACAAAATTGAGTTGAACCATTTGTGAGTTGGGACTGTCTGTATGTATATCTCGTGATGTAGCAGCTTTACTTCTGAGCACATTCTCTAGAGAAATGAGTTTTTATGTGTACCTTTCTATGATATGTGCAAGAATTATTTTAGCACCTTTATTTGTAATAGATAAAAAATGGAAACAACCCAAATATTCATGAACAGTAAATTGGGTAAGTGAATTGTGTTGTACTTCACAGCAACAAAAAGTTACTATGATTTACAAACGTTTGAATTAATCTCACAGACATTGTTAAATGAAAGAAGTCAGACACAAAAGAATACATAGAGTGGGCAAAACTAATAAATGCTCATAAAAGTTAAAATAGTGGTAGAGGTGCCTGAGTGACTCAGTCAGCTGGGTGTCTGACTCTTGATTTAGGCTCAGGTTATGATCCTGAGATTTGTGAGACTGAGCCCTGCAATGGGCTCTGTGCTGACAAGGTGGAGCCTGCTTGGGTTTCTCTCTCTACCTTGTGTGTGTGAGTGGGGGAGGGTCAGAGAGAGAGGGAGTCACAGAATCTGAAGCAGGCTCCGGTCTCAGAGGTGTCAGCACAGAGCCTGATGCAGGGATCAAATCCGTGAACCTGGAGATCATGACCTGAGCTGAAGTTGGATGCTTAACTGACTGAGCCACCCAGGCACCCCCATCTCTCTCTCAAAATAAACAAACATTTTTTTTAAAAGTTAGAATAGTGGGGGCGCCTGGGTGGCTCAGTTGGTTGAGCATCCGGCTTGGGCTCAGGTAATGATCTCACGGTTCGTGGGTTCGAGCCCTGCATCAGGCTCTGTGCTGACAGCTCAGAGTCTGGAGCCTGTCTTTGGATTCTGTGTCTCCCTCTTTCTCTGACCCTCCCCTGCTCATGCTGTCTCTCTCTCTCTGTCTCTCTCAAAAATAAAACATTAAAATAAATTAAAAGTTAGAACAGTGCTTAGATAGGGGCCTTTTGGGGTTTCGGAAATGTTTTGTATCTTGATCTGGGTGGTGGCTACATAGGTCTGTACATATATGAAAATTCATCAAGCCGGACACTTAAAATCTGTGTACTTTTCTGTATAAGTTACATTTAAATAAAGTGATAGGCTGGGGTGCTTAACTGGCTCAGTTGAAAGAGTATGTGATTCTTAATCTTGGGGTTATGGGTTTGAGCCCCACATGGAGTGTAGAGATTACTTAAATAAGTAAAACTTTAATAGAATTTTTTAAAAGTTTGTTTATTTTTAGAGAGAAGATGCACACGTGTGAGCTCGGGAGGGACAGAGAGGGAGAGAGAGAGGAGGAAGCCCAAGCAGGCTCTGCGCTGACAGTGAGGCTCAGTCTTACGAGCCGGGAGAGCGTGACCGGAGTTGAAATTGAGACTGACACTTAACTAACTGAGCCAGCTGCGCGCCCCAATAAATAAAACTTAAAAATAAATTTCATCTTGGAGACATCTGGCTGGCTTACTTGGTAGCGCATGTGACTCTTCATCTCAAGGTTGTGAGTTCAAGCTCCACTTTGGGCATTAGGCCTACTTAAAGAAAAGGGTTAAAAAAAAAATATGTATATATAAAAGTGATAGGTTTTCAAATCCTACATAAAACCATCTTTATTTCCTCCCAACCAATTTTTTTTTTTTTTTTGGTCAGCTTTGATATTATTTTTGGACCTTTTCTATTTTTTTCCCATTAACTCTCAGAGTATGCATTTTTATAAGCAGTAATAGATATTGCTGACATTAAAATTTATCTGTATCTCTGTCTCACCAAAATTCTAGTCATGACCATTTCAGGGTTATCGGTAAATTATACATTTTTGCCAGTGCTAAGAATTGTTACAGACTTTCATCTGTCATTAGGACTTGGCTCTTTGTAGTTCATGTTTCACCCAATGTCTGGTATTTTGTGGCACCTTTTATCTCCCCCTCCCCCAATTGTTCATAAAGTTTTCCTCTAAGTGTAGAACATAAACCCTTTTTTTTTTTTTTGTGGTCCATAATGGAATGAGCTTGCATCAGAATGTAAATCAAATATATTACTAAGTACATTTAGTAATATTGAATACTTAAGTGCACTGAACTATTTTGTTCAACAGTTTTGTTTGGTTTTATCAAGACTGCTTTGATGAGGAAGCAACACATCGACATAGTTTTGTTCAAACTCTTTGTTTCATTGGAGACCAGCGCTTTCAGCAAACTGGTTTAAGCTGTGTAACAAGTTAACAATTTAATTCTATCAGGTACAGGGGTGCCTGGGTGGTTCAGTCAGTTGAGCATCGGATTCTTGATTTTTTTTTTAAATTTTTTTTAATGTTTTATTTATTTCTAGGAGAGAGAGAGAGAGAGAGACAGCGTGAGCAGGGGAGGGTCAGAGAGAGAGGGAGTCACAGACTGAAACAGGCTCCAGGCTCTGAGCTGGCAGTCAGCACAGAGCCCGACGCGGGGCTCGAACCCACGAACCGCGAGATCATGACCTAAGCGAAAGTCGGACGCTCAACCGACTAAGCCACCCAGGCGCCCCGGATTCTTGATTTTGATTCAGGTCATGATCCCAGGGTCATGGGATCAAGCCCCACGCCAGCGTGGAATCTTCTTAAGATTTTCTCTCTTCTTCTGCCCCTCTCCCCCCCTCCCATGCTCTCTGAAAAATTAATTCTATCAGATATACAGTATATTGATGGGAAGAAGGAGGTGAGGGCAGAGGTTCTAGTGCCAGTAGTGTGGAAGGACTTTTGTCATTTTTGACCTTGTAGCATCTGAGTTCCTGTTCCATATTTCCGGAATTCCTTTATGGCTTTGGTAGAGGCAGAATCTGCTTGTAACTATAGTCAGGTAGATTTGGCCGAGCAAATGCCATCGGTATGGACAGCAACTCAGGAGCCAGTGAGGCAGAAACGTGGGAACTGGAAGACTGTTCTGTGGGGGGTGGGGGCGGGGGGTGTCTTTCCTGGCTTTGTGTAGCCTCTATATCAGTTATCTGTTATAAACGTTGTTATCTACCAGACATCTTTTCATAAAAATATTTTCTACTTAAATTAGCCACAGTGAGTTTTTATTTTATTGCTTCCAACTAAGAAACCTGGCCAGAAAAAAAATTGTTGAAAAAATATTGTACTATTTATTTAAAACTGATCACAAATAAAATTTGTTTTCTCTTAAGTAAACTACATGCTAAGTTTTAAAATGTTTTAGACTAGAACTTTGTGAGACATGTTGCAGACAGTAAAGATTCTAAATAACAATTATTTCATTTTAGTATTTGCATTTTAAAATTTTAGTGTGCTTATTGGACCATGTGCTGCTATGTATGCCTGAAGTACTTGAAATGCAAATTTGGAGAGACTTTGCCGTCTAAATGCTTGGCTGGATTAAGCGCCTAATTAGGATGGTTTTTCAACAGGTTGGAGTAAGCATGCAATCGGTGAGTGCTCCAAATTAATTTTTTAAATCCAGACATTTATATGTTTTAAGACTTTTTTCTGAGAAAGTGAAATAAATCTATATATGACCAACATTTTAAATTCAGTATGTTTATTTAAGTCATAGAAGTGAATCTTTACCTAGCATCCTAAGTACTGGAGGGACATTGAAAATGCACCAACATTCATGTGACTGTTCAGAGCAATGCATTTGTTAGCAGTGAGGGAAAAAAATGTATATAGAAATCACTGAATAAAATGTTTGACTAACACTTGACAACTCTGAATGTTCAATGTTGAACTATTAATATTGAATGCTGTTACAATGTGGTTTATCATACAGCTGTTTAAGGTAAGTCACGTCTCTGAAAATATAACAACTATAGATATAAAGAGAAAATTAGTATAATACTCTTTGCCAAAGATGTTCTAATATTGATATTTGAAGTATTTTCTACTGATGCATATTTTTTACTTTTAGATCCAGTGTAAAGTTATTAGAGCAGCAGTGGTGCTAGATGTATTTTGTGCAATGTTTGTTTTTCAGTTTCAGATTCAATGTTTTGCATCTGTATAGTGGGATTAAATTTTATCTGTTAAAGATACAGGCCGGTTACATAAATTGAATATGGGTATACTTTTTAATACACTACTTTGGCTCTTATTTTTATTTTCTGCCTTTTCATGTCTTATTAAGAGAAAGTTAAACTTTAAATCCTCCACCCCCTCAAAATTACATCTATTTTCTTTGGAGATAAAAAGCAAAGAACCACATAAAAATACCTATTTAAATATCTGCATAATTTTGAGATTATTAGTTTGAGAAGAAGCAGTAGGAAAATGATTTGTGAAGTTAATACTATTTTCATTTTTTCAGTTACATCTTGCTCTGTTTTGGACTTCACTTAAGGCAGCTATGTACTGTGTTTCTCATTTGTCATTTACCACCATTTGGCTGTATAGAGTAGATTTACATTTCAGTACTGACAGCAAAATAATTTCTGTTGGTTTCAGAAAGATGGGGAAGCTTTTGCAACCTAAAATTCCCGAGGAGCCAAGCCTTACAATTTATGATTCCTATTTATTTCCAATTTTAGTAAGAATTCAGTTTAGTGGAGGGTTGCCAGACTGGCTCAGTCAGAAGAGCATGCAGCTCTTGATCTCAGGGTCATGAGTTCAAGCACTATGTTGGGCATAGAGATTACTTTAAAAAAACAGAAAGTGTAGTTTTAGTGGAAAGATCATAGGTCCTTGATTCAAACAACTCTGGGTGTGAAATTGGTCTCTGCCAGTTACTTTCTTCATCTACGGATTACAGGTAAGAACCGATACTGCAGAGTTAGCCTGTGGATTAAAGGACTGTGTGTCAAACAGCTACTCCAGTGGCTTGTACTTAGTATAGCTGCATTCAGTAATGCTTAATTTTCCGTGGTTTGCTCTGTCACTCACCCCCATCCCTGGGCCAAGTCAGGCAAATGTAACTAATGATGGTTGAGGCAAAAGTGCAGGCTTTTGTTTCAGGAACAGATAACACATTCTTTAGCTTGTTCATTTAATTTAGCTTTGTTCGTTTTGAGTGGTAAAATGCATCCATCAAAAAATGGACCGGGTAACAGAGCATTAACTTATTCCCTGTATTGTAATCACAGTTAAGGGCCCTTCGTATTAGCAACGGAACAATATTTTATTTTTTTTTTTTTTAAGATTTTATTTTTTAAATGTTTGTTTGTTTACTTTGGAAGAGAGATCTCCAGCAAGCTCAGTGCTGTCAGCGCACAGCCCGATGTGGGGCTTGATCTCACAAACCATGAGATCATGACCTGAGCTGAAATCAAGTCAGTCGCTTAACTGACTGAGCCACCCCAGAGACTGCAAGATTGTTTTTTTATGTAGTGTATAATCATCAGCTTCAATGAGTTAATTAAAAATCTATATAAAAACAAGTTTTCTTCTAAGGAAGGAATTTGATCCTTGGGAGTTATTTAGTTTCTTAGATCTCAGTGTGCTGACTAAATGTAAATAAGTATATAGTCTACCAAGATTTTACTTCTGGGCAGAAATAAAACTTTTTAGTTCTCTCTTTTAGTGATAAATACATATTTTCCCATTGGTTTGCTAATGAACTTGATACTAATCAAAGATTCCAAGAGCAGAGACTACCTTCATCCTTTACATGTTTTATCTTCTTAAACAGAAAAAATACAAGCTTTGAGATTAGGGTTTTGTTTGCCATTAGAACAACCACGATGATTAGCTCTTTGTATTTCTCTGTACATATCAGCACCACTGGATGTAATAGCTGTCACTGATTGGTTTACTGTACTCAGTTCTTTTGCATAAATTATGTATGTTCACTAAACATTTTTTTGTTTTATAGGTATAACCACGGTTTTAGCAGATATCTAATTTGTATTAGTAATATATTTCCAGTAATACTTAAGAATTGTAACCTTTTGTGCTGCGGAGGAAGAAGGTGAATGTGGCTAGGAGTTTAGAGTAAGGAAACGAGACCTGAGGGAAGTGTTATCTTTAATTGGGGATTTTGAAATTGTTACAGAGTTTCATCTTCTTATCTCTGCCCCCCTCCCCAACACACGCTGTGGATTTTCCCCTGGCTCCCTTGGAGTTCAGGATTTGTACTTTGTTGGGTCCTAGACTCCTTGAAATTTTGATTAATGATACAGACTTTCTTCCAGAAAAATATTGTATATACACACAGTTTTGCATGTAATTTCAAGGATATGTGGACCCCAGAATAAGGACCTTTGTATTAACATTAAATAGCTTATCTTGAGAAAAATATGTTTGTTTAGAATTAAGTTTGTACTTTTCCTGCTAAATGGTACCTCTCAAATAGTAATATAGATTAAACTAGACTATAACAGATGAATCACCACATAAAACTCGAGTACAGTCATAGCGATGAGACAGATGATAGCTTCAGATTCCAAGCTCACACTTCAGCACTTCTACAATAGCGTTTCACAGTGTTAAAAAAGAACAAATTGCTTTCTTGTTGTCATCTCCTCCTTGCTGTCATCACTTTCAAACACTGTTGCTAAATGTTACGGACTGTCATTACTAGACCCAGACACGCAAACACACATGCACACAGATCCGTGATTAAATTGTCAGTAGTCATTATAAATAAAGCAAAGCGGAGTTTCTCTGTTTAATAACTAATTATGTTCTAATGGAATTGAATTCTTATTTCTTAAAGTGTCTAGCAGTGGCGGTTTTCTCCTGCCCCCTTTCTTAAATCTGAAAAAACACTAATGACAGTTTATCGTTAGAGGAAGTCTTCCCTTCTGCAGTATGCTGACAAGACAGCAGTTCAGCCGCCACCTAGGGAAGGAGATACACTTGGGCCCTGCTGTCCCCCAGTGCACAGACGGTGACTTTTCAGTGCCATCTGTTCATTATTTCTTCACAGCCATTTATAATTTCTCCCATTCTGTGAGAACTAAGTAGAAAAAATAAAGTAGGACCTAGTTTTAGAGTTCCTGGAAGTTAGCTGCTCTTTCCCTTACTGTTTCCTACAGTTGAGTGAAGGTTTTATGACTTGTTTCTCAGTATTCCAGTCATTACCTTACATAGGCCTTCCTTCGTATCTCTGGTGCTAGGTGTTGTGCAATTCACAGGTGACAGAAGAACATTGTTAGTCTACTGCATGTACTGGAAAGAATAACATAAAGCAATCAGATTTTCTGTCCTTTAACTTTGTATAAGAATCCTGAGTATTCTACTTAGTCCTTATAGGTAAAAGCTGAATCTTTGGCCACCTTCTCTTATAGAAGTCACCTGGTTTTCTTTCCTTCTGATATTAAACAGATGGGAAGATAATAGTTGAAACTTAGCCCTGAAGCATGCATAGCAGCAAATGCTAAAAGTTGGCAGAAACATTAGTTCCTGACCTTGGCAAATCCTTTTCACATTTTTCTTTGTGAACTTTCTGTCCTCTCCAACTCCAGTTAAGCTCTTTGCTTACTGGAGGGATGTGGGAGGTTAGCTGTAGACTCTGTAACTATCACACTGTGTGATGTGTAGTGTTTCACTACTTCTACATCATAGGAGAGTTTTGACTTCTGGCTAAATACAAGATTCAAGAAGAGAATGATTGAATGGTATACTTGCTATTGCCTTGTGATTTCTTTTTAAAAGATGAAGACCTATGAACATGTATAAGGTAGAATTTGCTTAAATATGGCTTTAGAATTACTTGCCCATGAACTTATTTTTTCTTGGCCTTACGCTGAATTGGTAACACTGATGCTTCCCATTTTTCTCTAGCTAGTCAAGAGATTTTTCTTCTCTTAGTCCTCTTGTGTTATTAACACTATTTGTGTGATAATCCTCTGTATGATCATTGGTGTGAATGATTTGCATTCCTGAATTAGAGGTAATTCCCTTCTAAGCTTCACAGTAGCTTTGCCTCTTATATTCTTTGTTTAATATTCATATTTCAGTATCGATGTCATCTTTCTACTGATCTATTTTCCAGTGTGTACCATCTTCTAAATTTATATTTCCAAAGCAAGTTATAGTTTTTGTTGCTTGTAGTAGCCAGAATAGGTTCCAGTACTTCCTAGAACTCTCTCGGGTAATAGTGAAACTTTGAGCATATAAGTGGTGAATTATATAAAAGCTGAGGCATATTCTGGAGGCATATATATCCCCAGGATCGTCACATTGAGACATACTGTTATCTGTAATTGGATTTGGTTGCTAAAATCTAAGAAAACAGATTACTTATATGCTCATTTTACAAGTTGTGCATGCTTTTAGAATGGTTTAAATGTCTAATTTGGGTTATGTGTTGGAGCCACTGCTATTTATTTATTCCTTGGTCATTCTGCATATGGTAAGGTAATTTCATTCTTTAAATTAGAATGGCCATGGAGTGACTTAAAAAGGGGTCACTGTCTGTTGCTCAGAATACATGCCAGCTGATTTGGTATTATTTAGTTTTAGGAAGTGATTGAATGTTAAAATTTAATGAATTAAGTCATATCATTCTCATTCTTTTCTTTCTAAATTGCTTTTAATAGCATACCAGCTCTCTTTGCCTCTCTGCCCAGGCTTTCAAGTGTAGCACTCAAAACAGATGGATAGTTTTTCTCTTTAAGGAAAAATCATATACTTGGGGAGAAGTTTCCAGGTACTTTATAATGATTTAACATTCTACATATGTGGGGTTTTTTTCTTTGCTTTCTGCTTTTGGGGGTTTTTTGCTTTAAGCATGGCATGATGTCCTGTGTGTACTGTGATTTCATCTGAAAAATTCTGCTCATTAGGATCACTAAAAGCCCACGTAGTACTTTTGTGTAAATTAGGAAAAGACCACCTTTTTCCTGGGGATAAGGCCTCACAATAAGACGCAGTATAGCTGGATTTTGGCCCACACTCCCCTTAAGCAGACATTTTTGTGTAGCAAAAAATGAAGCACCCCAAATAGTACAAATTCAGATTCCAAACTTTGTACTGATTTGGATTTGTTTTGAAAAGTTCGTTATAACAGAAGCTCATAGTTTTAAAAAAAAATGTATGTGTATTTAAAATTCTAAAACTTTAAAAATTATAGCAGAGGCAATAAAAAGTGTTCCTTTGCAGAATAGTATGAAAACATAGTGCAAATGCAAATGCAAAGTTTCTACTCCAAATGTAATTGTTTCACAACTATTATTCTTTATTATATAATGCCTTAAATTAAACCTTATTGTATTAATCATAACCAGCTAAATATATATATTTTAAATTTTACTTGAGAAATATTAGCTCATTTCCCATAACAAGGCATTCTGATCCATAATTAATGTGTCAGTAATGTACAATTAATTGTCCAGTTCTTTGTAGTGATAGTTTTATAACCCTTATAATTAAACTTTTGGTTTTTCCTATTTCCTCAGGTACTTTGGTCTGGGAAGCCATATGGTTCATCTCGAAGTATCGTAAGGAAAATTGGTACTAATTTATCTCTGATCCAGTGTCCAAGAGTTCAGTTTCAGGTACTATATTTTATATGTTTCAACTTAACATGTGCATTAGAAATACAAATAGTCAAGACAGCTTTAGAAGTATTTTAGAACCTTTCCCCCATTGATGCTACTATCAATAGAAGACAATAAAACTATAGTAAAGTCTAATTTTACTTCCTCTGTGTAGTGATTATTCAAGCTTTTTAAAGCTCTTTAAGACATTTATCCTTCTTAAGAATGAATACATATACAAAGATTTAGAAGCATATCATAAGCCAAGCAGTTGTTAATTCCCAGGTGACCTTGGACATGGCCTTATGTGACTTTAGGGGGTTTTAGGTACCACCATTGTTTTCTTAAGTTATTATACCTTCTTATCTGGACAGCCGCTTTGTTCCCCTAGTTTATTTTTAGATGTATCTCTGGATGCCTCCTAAGTTGCTTTCTCCATCCGTGGTTTAAAGCTTAGCATTAATTGTAGGAACCATTGCTTGGGCAACAACAGTGTCAAGATAAAGAGGTAATTGTGGTTCTCAGAATGAGTTCAGTGAACCCTAATTGAGATATTTCTGAATGCTTAGGTCTTAGTATTCTCTTAGGGCCCGTAACTGAGAGCAACTCTGCTCTTTGCTTACAGACAAATTGTTATTTTCTTGATTTGGGCTTTTTGTTGTAATAGTGTTAGACATGTTCTTGTTTTTTTGTTTTTATTCTTTTATTTATTTCTGAGAGAGAGAGTGTGTGAGCAGGGGAGCGTCAGAGAGAGGGAGATACAGAATTGCAAGCAGGCTCCAGGCTCTGAGCTAGCCGTCAGCACAGAGCCCGATGCAGGGCTCGAACCCATGAACCGTGAGATCATGACCTGAGCCGAAGTCAGATGCTTAACCGACTGAGCCACCCAGGCGTCCCTGACATGTTCTTGTTTTTAAGTAATTCTTTACAACAGTAATACTACAAAACCTTTCAATGCAACATTTAAGAATATAAAGTTCAGCAGATATGTATACCAATTTTAAATAATAGATTAGCATGTGAAATGTGGGAGATGCATTTAATTCATAATCATGGCTCAGAAGTGCCCCTGAAAGCTTATTAGATATTGTCTTTCTCATAAGTCAGCACTCCTCGTAGGTAGAGGTAAAAATCTGTTCCTAAGTAAGTGGTAGAAATTAGCATTTGTTCAAGTTGACTAACAAGGTTGTTCATTGCTGTGCGCATTCATAAACCTGCTTGCATATTGACTGAAAAACTCTTATGCATCAGTCTAGAAATTGACAGATTGGAACTTCCCAAGAAATAATTTTTTAAAATCAATTTATAGGCTTTAAAAAAATAATCAAAATGTAGAAATCTGTAGTGGTAATTCTCTCAGGCACAATCTCTGAGGATTCAGTTAGACACAAATTGCTGATTGCTTCATTTGCCAACTTCTTTCAAATAACTACTGTGTTAACTGAGGCTTATTAACTTTTTTCTGATTGCTCAGTTCCTATAAAATTTTCTTTTCGTATATTTATGTATCTACTTAACCTAGTTGCAGGAGAACTTGTTGCAACATTTGTGTTCATGTAGCTAGAGATATGTAGAAGGACATGAAGATAATCTAGTATTTTTTAGTAAAAGCCCAAATCTGCCTTGACAGTTAATGGGCTGAAATACTAGAGCCAAGTATAGTTTCTTGGGGAGAGTCTCATTCTCAATGTTATTAAAAGAGTATGAGCGGGATTGAGAATACTAGATTTAGTACAGGAGCTGCATTTGAATAAAGATGGATAAATAGAGGAGTAGGATCGGAGAAATACTGGTGGCCTACTTGAGAATATAGTGGGAGACAGAAGACATTTGTTTATAATGAGATTTTAACTTCCAGGTGGTTTTATTTAGCATCTGAGTCTCTTCAAATTCAAGGTCAATATTAAAGTGAGTATTTTATCTGCTAATTAGATATTTTAATTTGGCTATTATTCCTTCGTATCTTCTCTTTTTCTTTAACTACATCTATCAAAAATGTAAATATGTGGGATTTTAAAAAACATGCAATTAGAGTAATAAACTTAAAAATCCATTTTTGCTATTTTTCTGGCTCATTTGGGGATTTGATTGATAGGGAATGTATTTGGACTGTCTAGGAGTCCAGCATGAGTACATTATTATTGCCACCTGACGGTTGGACATTAACTTACTTGCTTGCTACTCAGGTGATTCAACTCCCTGATTTTACAAATTAGATTTATAAGAGTCACCAGTCAGAACATAGACCAACACGTTTATTTACACCTTAATCCACTTAATCCAGTTAATGGGCACAATAAATTTTGGACTGGGAATAAAATATGGCAATAAGTGTAAAAGGCGAAGTATTTCTTTGCTTTGTTATTTGAAGAAGACTTGCCAATAACACCATAGCCTTTTCTAGTACTTCATTTTGTGAGTGCTAGAAATTGGTTGTCTACTTTAGACTCAAAAAGGATCTCTAGGACCTTCATAATTTACTTATTTAAATTAAGTTTTTATATTTAAAAAAAAATGTTTTTTGAAAGCGAGCATACGCCGGGGAGGGGAGAGAGAGGGAGACACAATCCAAAGCAGGCTCCAGGCTCTGAGCTGTCAGCATAGAACCTGATGGAGGGCTCGTACTCACAAGCTGCAAAATCGTGATCTGAGCTGAAGTTGGATCCTTAACCAGCTGAGCCACCCAGGTGCCCCAAGTATTTAATTTTAATTCCAGTATAGTTAACATACAGTATTATATTAGTTTCAGATAAAGTGATTTAGCAGTTCTATACGTTACTCAGTGCTTATCATGGTGAGTGTACTCTTTAATCCCCATTATGTCTTTCACCCATCCCCCTCCCCACCTCTCCTCTAGTAAGCATCAGTTTGTTTTCAATAGTTAAGAGTCTGTTTTTTGGTTTGTCTCTTTTTTTCCCCTTTGCTTGCTTGTTTTGTTTCCTAAATTCCACATGTACGTGAAATCATATGGCATTTATCTTATTCTGACTGACTCATTTCACTTAGCATTATATACTCTCTAGCTCCTTCCATGTCCTTGCAAATGGCAAGATTTCATTCTTTGTTATGGCTAAGTAATATTCCAGTGTGTGTGTGTGTGTGTGTGTATGTTCATCTGCTCACGGACATTTGGGCAGCTTCCGTAATTTAGCTGATGTAAATAATTCTGCTATAAACATGGGGTGCATGTGTCCCTCTGAATTAGTGATTTTGTATTTTATGGGTAGATACCCAGTAGTGTGATTTCTGGATTATAAAATAGTTCTTTTTTTAATGTTTTGAAGATCCGTCATACTGTTTTCCGTGGTAAACTGTACCAGTTTGCATTCCCACAAATAGGACACAAGGTTTCCTTTTTTCCCACATCCTCACCAACACTTACTGTTTGTTAAAATGCTTTTTTGGTTTTTGTTTGAGAGAGCATGAGCAGAGCAGGGGTGGAAAGAGAGGGAGAGAGAAAATCCCAAGCAGGCTCTGCGCTGTCAGCACAGAGCCCGATGTGGGGCTTGAACTCATTAACCTTGAGATAATGGCCTGAGCTGAATCCAAGAGTCAAATGCTTAACCGACTAAGCCATGTAGGGGCCCCAAAATGTTTTTGATTTCAGTCATTCTGACAGGTGTGAGTTGATAGCTCATTGTAGTTTTTTTTTTTTTTTAATGTTTATTTATTTTTGAGAGAGAGGGGGAGCATACGCACTCTGTGGGGGAAGGGACAGAGAGAAAGGGAGCCACACAATCTAAAGCAGTCTCCAGGCTCAGAGCCATCAGCGCAGAGCCCGATGTGGGTCTTGGATTCACGAACAGTGGTGACATGACCTGAGCAAGGTCAGATGCTTAACCAACTGAGCCACCCAGGTACCCTGTCATTGTAGTTTTGATTTTCATTTCCCTGGTGATGAATGATATTGAGCATCTTTGCATGCATCTGTTGGCCATCTGTATATCTTCTTTGGAGAAATGTCTGTTTATGTCTTCTGCCCATTTTTAATTGGAGTATTTGTTTTTTGGTTATTGAGTTGTATCAGCTCTTTATATATTTTGATTACTCACCCTTTATTGGGTATGTCATTAGCAAATCTCCCATTCAGTGGGTTGCCTTTTTAGTTCTGTTTGTTTCCTTTGCTGTGCAGAATCTTTTATATTGTTGTAGTAGACCCTTCACATTTGCTTTAATTAGAGAAAAATAAACTTCCTTGGCCTTTCTATAGCTTTCAGACATGTACATTTCAACCTTGAGTCACAGTTACACATCTGGCCACAAGCATTTTGTGTATTTGACTGTTACGGCCCCCTTGGGAGTAGGAACCCAGGTTAAGACAAAGTGAGAGAGTAGATGCTTTTTGTTTTTTCTTTTCCTCTCCTAGTACTTTTTCCAGCTTCATGAAACCAAAAGAAAAACTCAGATCATGGAAGAACTGGAAAAAGCAGTGAGCTCTGGGAGATTGAGAGGAATGGGTGCTGAAGTTATCGTTCGCAGTGGTTCTCAGTGCTGTTTGCATATTTAAATCACCAGGAGCTTTAAAAAGTATTTGTGCCCAGGCCTCACCTTGCCAAGTAGTTTTATATGCTCACCTCCCTTGCAAAATCACAGAGCTTTTAAAGAGTATGGGTCCCACTCAAAGCTCACTAAATCAATTTCATACGTGTGTGTGTGTGTGTGTGTGGTTTGTTTGTTTATCTGGGTTTTTGTTGTTGTTTTTTTAACCTCTTGAGGAGCTTCTTGTGCACCTGAGGTGAAGACTTGAGGTACACATTGTATTTTAGCATTTTGCCACAGAATGTTTTCCTTAAAGCAGTAACATAATTATCTGATGGTTACAAAAGTAATCATTATAAAAGCACTTTGGGGGTGCATTTTTATAAATTTTAAATTGTATGAGTTAAAGAAAAAATGTGGGACCAGAAGCAGCTTATTGGAGTGATAAATATTACTTATGAAAAATCCTTTGGGTGCCTGGGTGGCTCAGTCGGTTAAGCCTCCCACCTTGGTTCAGGTCATAATCTCACAATTCATGG